CCGTGGTTTGTTTTAAATTTTCTTCTTCCCCCCCCCGCGGCACCGGGAGCCTCGGCCGCAGCGCGGTGCCCACCGCTTGGGAAGCCGAGCGCCTCCGGCCGCTGGCTCAGCCCTGCCCGGGCTCCAGCTTCCTCGGGGCTTCCTGGGAGCCGTCCAGCTTCCCGGGGCTGCCTGTCCTCTGGCTGCCCTCCTCGGGCGCTGGGGCTACAGCACTTCAAACACAAGCTCTTTGATTTTTTTTTTTATTATTATTTTTTCTTTTTTTTTTAAACCCAAACTGCCTGGAAGCGAGGGGCCCTGCTTGTTGATGTAACATGCAGATCCTGCTTCAACCACGCAGCCCTTCTTCTGTACGCAGGAAGACCAAAATGACCGGCTCTAAAGCACCTGGAAGGCAGTCAGCACAAAAAACCACACAGACCTGCAGGGATGAGGGAGAGTTTCCCATGACCCTTCACTTGCACAAACAAAAGGCAAATCCAGGTGCTTCTCTCAGACCCCAGGAATAGCCCAGTGACTCATCAGCTGGGTGACTCTTTTGGCTGGCAGCTGTCAATGGCTCCAGCAGAAGGTAGCATTACACTCTTCCCTTCACCTAGGTACCCTCGACCTACAATTTACAGTGGCCTCCAAACCAGTATTCCCCATTTTCCTTCCCACCCTAACCAAGCTTCCTTTCCTCTGGCCAACCCTCCCATAGCAATGTGGCAGTGCAACAGAGACCCAGACCTGAACGAGCAGCACAGCTCTGCTAGTACACATCCCGCCTAACATGCTGCGGGCAAGGGATGCTGGTGAGACAAAACCAAGACAGAGCAGATCTAGAAGGGAAAACAAGGATTTAATAGAATGAATGGAGAAGCTCCCAAAGTCCACACTGGAGCCACAACTCTGAGACTCTCTGACACTCCGCTCCAGGATCAGTCCTTCCTTTCTGCCCACCAGAAGGCTGGGAATGCTCAGGAATACCAGTGCTTGATCTGCCCCTTCAGAGCCCTCTCCAGAGAGAGGATTAAGGTGCATTGCTAACTCCATGCAGACCATCTCCACAGCAGCCTCTTCCTCAGCCCTTCAAATCTTCCAAGGAAGGGAACTCAGCCCAGAAATCCCTCTCTCCTTGGTGAGTGAAGAATCCTTGTGTTATCCAACAGGTGGTAAAGGCTGTACAGAAACAATCCTGGGGGGAGGGAGGGAGAGTCACACTGGTCCTAGCAATGAGATTCGAGCTCTGTCAGCATCAGGAGGCCAGCTCTGGTGGAGGGAAGGGGCTGTCCTGGGTCCAGCATGGAAGGCAAGTCCTCAAGTGGGCAGGTGAGTTGGCGGAGCCTCTGGAAGGCAAAGGCAAGCATTGAACACAGCCTCAAGGACAAAAGGTTACCACAACCCTCACCTTCCAGTCATGGGTATCATTCAGCCAGCCAGGCAGGGCTGTAGGTCTTGTCCCTAAATACCAGAAATGCCCCAAATTAGGATAGTCAGTGCTTCAGAGATTGAGGGGATAAACTCATCTTCAAACCACTTGTCCCAAGACAAACACTGAGACTTGACACATGGTAGGAAAGCTCTGCCCTCCATTTGCTCCAGGCCAGGGCTAGAAAGCAGTACAAAGAAAGGCTGGTGTCCAAGTACCTCCAGGTCATCCCCTCCATCAGCACGGATTGCAAAGGGAGAGCCTGTGCACACAGAGTTGGCTTTAACTGGGACAGCAAGTGCGTAAGGGGCTACCTCCTATGTCATGTAGCACGGCACTTGCCATGCTCTTGCAGCTGTGCCCACCCCTCCCCGTCCATGCTGCATACAGGGGTCGTGGGCCCATTGCTGTCACAACCCATTCTTGAGCACTTGCAGGAGGCAGAGAACAGATGGGATCCTGGGCATTCAGGACTGTTTGTGAAACCTCCCTCTGAACCATGAGCCACGGCAGGGATAGGATGCCTGTCTGCAGCAAGGTCTGGTTTGCCAGCTCCCTGCCCTCCCAGTGCACATCCAGCAATGTGAGCTGGGCAGGCCCAGAGCACTGAGGTTGCAGTGGAAGCTCCAAACTCACAGTGATGCCCTCCACTCCATCTCTATGGCCTCAGCATAGACTGGGGAACTCAGCTGCCCACAATGCTCATGGGATCTGGAGCTTTCTGAGAGCAAATCCTCAAGCCTCAGTCAAGAGCAGCCTCCAAACCGACTCAAGGCACCAGAGATGCTCTTTATCCTCTCCATCTAATGAACTTTTTCCTAATGGTGCTTGCAAAGAGACAGAAACAATAAAGAAAGGCCACCAAGAGGCAACAGCCAGATTGGAGCAGCCCTCCAGACAGGCAGAACTTAAAAAAAAAAAGTCTGTTATAGCAACAGGCTCATTCAAAAATAGACTGATTCAATTGATTTATTCTAGGCTCCCTGCTAATTAATCTGCAACACACAAATTAACCCCCTGCAAGGCTGGACTTCAACACAGAAGTAGAGCCCACACCCTGGTCCCAGAGCACCAGCCTCACCTCTCTGAGGGAGCCTTTGATGGTGGAGAGTTTGTAGACGATCCAGAGAGGGATGCATACCATGGAGGAGAGGGCCAGCAGCCAGCCCAGCGTGTCTCCCCACCATGGGTACACGTACTTCTTGTTGTAGGTCAGTGGGGTGTATTTGATCAGAGAAAACAGGAAAGTTGCCTGGCAGGGTGGAGAAGACCAAGAGAAAAAGCAAGAAAAACAACACCATTAGCCAAGAGAGGTCTTCCTGGTGAGTCCACACCTGCACAGAGTCTCATGGTAACAAAGAGCTCCCCAGGACAGCAACAGAGGAGACACTACTCAAGCACACACATCCCTCTGTATATATGTAGGTATCTATATCTCAGAGGCACCCAGCTCTGCCCATCTTCCTCCTCACAGCTCCTCTTCCTGTGGGCCCTCACCGTGCAAACCGCCGGGGTGATGAAAAGCCAGCAGTATTTGATGATGGACCACGGCCGGTAACCGATCATGTCTTCAATGTTATCGTAGAAACGCTCGGCACCTGCAGAAGAGGGGAAGGATGCCTCGGTGCTACAAGGGAAGGAGAGCAGCAGGGTCTGCATGTCTGGGGTCCTGCATGTCTGGGGTCCTGCTTCACCACTGTTTGGGTGCTCCCCAGAAGACAAGGCAGTAACCTCAGCATAGCCAACACTCTGTCAAGGAGCTTGCCGGGAGTGTGATCAGCTTCAGTCTTTGTCCTGGAATAACATCTGTCACCCCAGAACAGCCCAGTGGGTCAGCGGGGCCAGCCCCTCAGCATCACCCAGTCTAGGACCTGAACCCAAGTTTTATCCATCCATTGTGAACGTCAAGGCTGAGAAAGCACTCTCAAATATGTTTGAGGGTCTCAGAGTCCTCTATACACACGCCAGGAAAGGATTTCCCAGCCAGCTCCAAGTCCCCAAGGAATGAGGGCCTCAAAAGCAGGGGCACATAGGAAAATGCTAGGGATATCTGCCAAGCAGATCCCCCACGGTGTTGCTCTCAGGAAGTCCCTGCCAGCTGAGTCTGGGGGCACCAAAGCAAGGGTTTAGAGGTCTGCCTTGTACTGTGAAGCAATTGCCAAGATGAGCTACAGACCAACATTTTGAAGATGGGCAAAGCAAGAGCCTGAGACACCAGAGCTGGGTGTCCCCCCCTGGTTCATACTCACCATAGACCCAGGCGATGCAGAGAGTCTCGAAGATGGCCACAAAGAGCAGGCACATGCCACTGGCAGCGTAGTAATCAAAGAGCTGGAAGACATACATCCCACCCTGGGAGGAGCCAAGCGGGCAGTGAGGCAAGGTGGAGAGGGAGAGAGAGGAGAGGAATCAGGCACAGGCAAAGAGCTCCAGCCAGAGCAGGAAACAAACTCAACATCTTCACCAGAGCTGGAGGCACCTTCCTCTCTCTGGGGCAGGGTTTTAGCCAACAGAAAAGGCCACGTCCCTTGTGCTCAAGGCCTGGTGGAGACATGCAGCCACCTTGCTCTCAAGAGTCTCTGCAACTCTTCATTCCACGGCAGGGCAGGGCAGAGGAAGGCAAGTGACTGCCAGAGATCGTGGGAATATTTCAGGAGAAGATAAAACCAAAGCAACTCTTATAGCTGGAAGTAAGGGTGGAAACCCCCTTAATAAGACACAATGCATCTGGTTTACTTTTGCCTCCTAAATTGCAGAGGGGAGTAGCTTTGCATGCAGTTCTCCAAGCACCTGTTGCTGTGGGCCCACAGGCTGCAGCCCAGCTTTTTCACTGCCCAGGCCTGCAAGGTTGTCTGCAAAATGGGCCTGCAGGTAAGTGCAGGCACAAACCTATGACTGCAACATCAAAGGCAACTTTTTCGAAATTATGACCAAATGAAAACAGAAGATGCAAAGAGCATCATGGCAAGATCAATCCCCACAAACAAATAATGCTAGGAAGAGTTAAAGGGTTTAAAGCTGAACAGTTTAACTCCCAGGCAATTAATCACAACAAGGGGAATATATAGGAAATCAGTGTAACAGATACAGGGCACACTCAGACCCACCAAGTTTGTGTAGCTCCATCCAGGAGGAAAGAGGATAAAGACTCTCACCATGCAACAGGCTACAGCTGTAAAGGTTTGGCTCATGTGAACATAAACCTATAACCAAAATATGGGCTGTCCAGAGCTCCAGTTATCAGTCTTGGCAGGAGAGGTGTCAGGACTGTGACTGCACAAGGGCTGAAAGCTGGAAGGGGAAAATGCAAACACCATGAGGAGGGAAGGGCAGCCTCCTCCCAGGCACTGTGCAGCAAGATGGACCTCACCAGCAAGCTCAGCCCCAGCATGGACTCTACCACCCACCAGGCCCCTCTCTGCCAGGGGCGCACTCAGACCCAGCAAGCACCACGCAGGTGGTCTGAGCCCAGAATACCTCTGTGAGCATCAACAACCCGACCAGATAGGAGAGGATGGAGACCAGCAAGATGAGGGTCTCCCGGCGGTTCTTCTTGCGGAAGATGGTGGGGTACATGTCCACAAGAGCTGTGACGAGGCTCTCCACACAGACAAACTGCAAAAAGCAGAGGGTCCACTACCATCAGCCCATCCTGACTGGCTCTCCAGCCCCGCTGCCCCCGCCTCCCGCCCCCCGCCAATGTTCAAGCCTGTCGTGAAGGGATCATGGCTTTTGTCTAGCAGGGAACTGCCCTGCACCTGCACCTTTACCTGGCTGTCCAGTCCCAGCAAGACCACCATCAGGAAGAAGAAGCACGCCCAGAGCGGGGAGAAGGGCAGCATGACCACAGCCCGAGGGTAGGCGATGAATGCCAGGCCAGGCCCTGCGGGAAGAAGGGCTTTCAGAGCGGGCACCAGCATGGCAGCAGCACAGCACAGCCTGCTTGGTCCTGGCCAAGGCACAGCCTGCAGCCATGCAGCCTCTTGCTCCAGTTGTACCAGTGCTGTGCATGAAACCCAGGCCCAACAAAGGGTGGATGAGCCCAGCAGGAAGGGATGGAAAGGGGACAGAGCAAGCTCCAGTTGCATTGCCGCCATGAGGGCTGGGAGCCAGGGAAAGCCTCTGAGCCCAGGGGAGAACAGCACAAGCCTGGGTGTATGCCATGCAGGCACCTCACCCCACCACCAAGAGACAGCAGCTGCCTAACCCTAACCCTTATATTGACCTCAAGACATGGCCATTGCATCTTAATATTTCATGAGCATGCATTTGGTTTTGGAGGCAGAAAGCAGAGCTGCCCACCAGGATGGGAACCTGCAGCTGCAATACTGTTTGCCCCAGGGTGGGTATCATATGGGCATCCTGTGGGCATGTCCCCCTTGTTGAGGGGGGCCAAGCAGCAGCACCTCCACAGCCTCATCCCACCGCAGCCCCACTCACCTGACTCAGCCACTTCAGCAATGGGCACACCCTGTTCCCCTGCCATGAAGCCCAGGATGGAGAAGATGGCAAAGCCGGCCACGAAGCTGGTGCCGCTGTTGAGGAAGCAGAGGGCCACGCAGTCCCTGGGAGGACGGGGCACAGGATCAGCCAGGTGGGGGTCCACGTATGACCCACATGCCATGGGAACCCCCCGGGGCAGCACCTGCTCTTCCACCCCAGACACTGTGCCCACAGCAGGGCCTCTCTCCCAGCATCCCCACAGCTCAGCTTAGCACCAGGAGCTGCAGGGGGATGCCCCAGGGTGGGCAACACAGCAGGAGCCCCCCCAGGGAAAGCCTTCTCCAAAGACAGCATAAAGATGCTCCTCAGTCATGAGATAGTCTTGCTACACATCTAAATGCCTGATTCTTTTCTTTTTTCCCCTCTCTCTCCCCTGGTTCCTCCTGTAGCACAGAGTACCAGAGTTTATTTTTGTCTGAGAAGGGGACATGCTTTTTTTCCTTAATAGATTTCTCAGACCAGTTACAATCTTCTTGGTTCTCGGCACTACTTGATATCTCCTGGTCCTTGCATTATGAGAAAAAGATGAAGAGAGCCATCCAATTTATTTTCTCTGATCTATTCCCTTTTGTCTCTGTTTCATCTTGTTCTCATCCATCTACTCCTTAAACTAAACATCTCTTATCTATCCAAATCCTTTTCACGCTCCAGTCTCCCCAGTTCTCTTGTGACTGCAACCCTGGGGACAACAATAACATTTGCAGCATCTTTCAGAGATATTCTGAACCGAACTGAACACATCGCTTCTGGCATTTCATGGCCTGCTCTGACTTTATTAAATGCTACTCTGCAAATCCAGTGTGATTTTCTGGTATCAGTCTTCAAGTATCCAGCATTTTGGGTGTTTCATGCTCCTCCTTGCACGTTAGCCAGATCTATTGACAGTCTGCAACCATTTCTAGAGAGAAAGTACAGTTCATGCAGAGACCCTGTGCTGCACATATAGATTATTCCTTCCAAAGCACAGCTCCGCATTGTCAAGGACTGCATAGCCCCTAACACCGCTGGTCTGCCTTTGTACTTGGTTTCTAAGGCAGGAGAGACTGAAAGAGGCCTGCAGGGTGTCTCCACAAATCGCCTGGCTGGTAAGGAGGGTCCCACTCCATCAAATTCAGCTAACCCAATGGGAAGCCCACACCAGAACCTCATTTCTCTGGTTGCTATAAACCACCTGCTCTCCACTCAAATTATATTCTCAGTCATTTTATACAGAGCCCCGTTTATTTCAAATAGTTCCTCTTCCTCCCCAGTGTTTCCCCTTCTTTCCCCTGGATGTAGGCATGACAGGTCAAACCCTCCTTGAACAGGCAGGGCACCACTTGGGAGGTACCAGTCACCTGGCAGGCAGAGAGGGGTGTCGTGGTGGTGGATAACATGTGGAGAATGGCTGGAGCAAAGAGGTCTCTAGATTTTCAACAGAAAGGGAGCCAGGGAATCCTGATTATATACCTTACTGTCCCAGAAAACAAGAAGTGGTCTATTCCATTTGGTGCCATCTTGGATTGCTGCCATACAAACAATGGTGCTCCCACCTTTTCTCTTCCAGGTCACCAAAGGTTATACCTGGCTTCGGATAACTGAGTGGAGCACCACACTGGTGTCCCTCTGCCCTATTAAAGCCTGGTCCTGTCTTCCTATGCAAAACAAGGCTGCAGAGCACAGAATCAACTCATTGAAACATCCATGCCTGGGAGCAGGTTGCTGAGATGTTTGACACCAAAACTAAGAGCAATTTCCCTAGCAAAGCCAAATAGCATGAAGGGTTTGTGTGTGAACAGGCATCTCTCCCCTTTCTATAGTGTCTCCCAGCTGGAGCTACAGAGTCTCTTTACAGCCTTGCTGCTAAGCAGTCCCTGTCATCTCCATGTTACAAATCCAGGCTGGAGATGCAGAGGGCTAGTGCCCAAGGACATGTAGCAGGCCAAAGCAAAATCTGTTATCTGTTCTTTTCCCAAAGCTTTTTCCACTCAAAACTGCACCTGGGAGAAGGGACATGAAAGGAGAGTCCCAGCCCAGCTGCTGCAGGAGACGCATCCCTACAGCAGGAGTGAACTCCTAAGCTGAAGACTGTGCAGCCAGTGGTCTGCCCGGACCTTCCATGGCAACAACCACAATTTTGAATTTAAAAGGTGTGTGGAGAACCCAGTGCCAGGAGCAACATAGTCAGCAGAGAAAGGGTGGGAAGGGAGGTGGGTAGTTTTACCTAGAGGTGGGCTCTTCCACTCACAGTAGCCTTTTACCTCTGGGGATGCAGCTCCAGGTGCTGAATACATCTACAGCAAAATGAGTTTATTTTCACCTGATCACTTCAACTGGACAGCCTTATTCTATTTGGCAACCTGGCTCATCTCTGTTCAAGGGCATTCCAGCAGGGGGAGAATACACAAGAAACAAAAAGTCGTATCTGCAGGTGTATGTGTAAATGGTAGACAGCACATAGGAACCCAGAGCACTGACAACTGTGCAAGACACTAGGTCCAAAAGAACCTAGGAAAGATTAAATCACAAGGTGAAAGGACTCCAGTCTAGAGCCATTAGATCTCACAGCTCTACTTCCTCTATGGCTACTCAAGCACCCATATCATAGGGGAGGTGGTGATGTGGGCTGGGGTCAGAGCTAGTGAAGAGGATCCGACTTTTCTGGGTCTCAGCTGGTGTAGAAGAAAGGGTTTGTCATCCATGGCACAGACAGAAAGTTCCCTTGGGTAGAAAGCACAGAGATCTGGATTTGGGGAGAAAGCACCTGGACAGAGTTTTCTTACGCCTTGAGTAGAAACAGAAAACACGACACTTTGAAAGGCCAGTAGCCTCCAGCAGTTCACCAGCATGTGTACGCTGATGTTCAGGGAGGGGGAGGCTCTAGGCAGCAGAGCCATGCTCCAGTTACCTGTAGCAGTTGTTATGGTATTTGTTATAGCTGCCCAGAGCTGTCAGGCATCCCAGACAAATTGCATACGAAAAGAAGATTTGAGTGCCTGCATCCATCCAGACCTGCAAGGGAGATGCAAACACAGGTGAGAAGACAAGGCCAGCACAGAGCTCAGACACTGCACGGATGCAAAGAAACAGAACTTCGGCGGCTGCTGTAATCAGCAGAAAGGCCAGCTACAGGGAGGTTGGCAACACTCCAAACTTAGACAAGCCTTTTCTAGGGGCAAGTTATACAGTGCCAGGAATTACAGTGCTCAGTGAGGCACCCAAGGGGTGCTAAGAGTGCCAAAGGTAAGGGATGCACTGGGAGCCTTGCAAACCCACTTATAGCTCTTCATTCTCGTCTGTTTCTTCCTTGGACAAATCTGCAGAATGCTGTGACTCCCCAGAGCCTCTCAGCAGTGAGAGACCAGATGAACACTTTCCACGAGAGCTGAAGGAGCCCTCTGCTAGCAGAGGAGGGGGACTTGATTTGGGTAAGCCCAGTCTCCCACTTGGTGGCAGGGGTATATACAGCTTCTGGTGGTGGCCCTTTTCTCTAAGGCTGAATTTAAAGACTCCAAAACTTAAAAGAAAATTAACTGGGGAGGAGAGGAGTACTAGAAATAAACAAAGTTGTTTGCAAAAGACGGCTCCTAAAAGAAACTACAAGAACGCTGTTAGTCCCACGAGGCGGCTTTGAACTCTGCTTCGTTTTCACTGTCAGTAACATGTCCCAGTGCTCCAAGGCTGACATTTGTCAATGCCAAATTTGATCTGAAAGCCTAGCTGTGTGCAGTCACCAATACAACCACTGCCACTGCCTTCTGCAGAGAACAGCAAAAGCAGGAACCAACAGTGAGGAATGAAGCAATGACAAGGATTATTAATTAAACCCACTGTTTTCTAAGATCTTTCTTCCTAAGGGGTTTATAAAATAGAGACAAGACAATCATTCAACCAACGCTGAAGGGTAGCCACATTCTAGAGACAAAAGAGAAGCTAATCAGGAAAGAAAAGCAGAAGAAAATTATTACTGGGACAACTTTAATGAGAAAACTCTCCATTGGCTATACCAATAGTCCTTGGACAAACAGCAGCCTTGCCCTAGGATCCCCTCTGAGAGGAACAGAATTCAATGGAAAGCACCACAGTGGTTTTGATGACTCCAAATCACACCTGGACCTGTCAGCCAAGACCTCATGTCCTGAGGCAATGGTCAGCTGGGTACCACCTGCCCAGCTGCCCCTGTTTCTCAGGCCACCCTCAGCAATGTATGGTTCTGCCTTTCCTCTTCCACAATAGCCAAAGAGCAGTCATGTGGCGAGAGGTTTTGTTTCATATTTACCTCTTCTCCCTCCTAGGCTGATGGGCCTTATGAAGGGATGTTATGACCCCATTAGCTGTGATTTTCTGGAGGAAACTCTGGGTTTAGCTCAAGGGACAACTGCACAGAACGAATTCTCCCCATGCCCACTGCTGCAAGACCCAGCAGTGCAGTCCGCGGGTAGAGAAAGCAAAGCACTGCTGGGGCTGCGTTTGGTGAAACTGCTCTCCCTGACTGTCCTGCAAGCAGCTCAGCTAACGTTCAGCCCCACCACCTTCTCTTCAGTCCATGGAAAGTCTGCTCACAATTTCACAGGGAATCAGATCAAATCTCCGATTTGTAGAATGGAAAGGGACAGATGATAAGGTGGGACTGGGACAACTAGTTTGAGGCACTGGGACGTTGAAAAAGTGATTGATCTCAGCGTATTTTACTCTTTTTGGAGGAGCTGCTTGGGGAGGTGGGTTTAGAGAGCAGGGTATTAGTTCATTTTTGCCTTTCAAAAAGATTAAAAAAAAAAAATCAAAACCCTGTTTATATTTGATTCCTAAAGCATCACTGTGCTTGTGGGCAATAAGGGCACAGCCTTCACTTTTCAGCTACTTTTTTGGCACAGCAGGGCACTGAGGTGAGCTGGACCAGCTGACACCTTCGCATCAATAATTTAAGCATCTTTGCACAGATCAGGATAAAATATTTTTGTTAGGTTTACTTTTTACTTTGCTGTTCATTGATAGAGCTCTGTTTTTTCACCAAATTCGAGCTCGAATCACACTCTCTTATGGGTTTTGGAGCCCTTGTAGTTCAATTTGTCAAAATAACAAGACTTCTGCCATCAAACTGCCTACCTCATGCTTGCCATATCATTGGACCCAGTTGACGTGTTTCAACAGATTTAACAGTTGGTAGAAACCTCAAGGATATCAACTACCTATGAATTTCACAACAGCCAGGGAACAGGAAAAAGACAGGAATTCAGCATCCCCACTGAGCAGAAAGCTACAGGGAGGAAGAGTCAACCAGTGTTAAATACTAGATAAATCACACAAGCAAGAGACATGAGAAATATCCCAGGGGCAGGAAGAGAACTGGTGCTTTACCAGCCGTGGTAGAAGCCAAATATCAAGACACCAAGCTTCATTAGCTCTGTGGCTTATGAAGTGGCTCATTTCTAAAACCCAATGATACCTTTGACTGTGTAGCAGAGACCAGCACAGGGTCTGTGGGTTCCCCCTGTCCACTGCCTGCTCTACCCAACACAACACCCTTGGGGTACACACCAGGCTGTGTGTCAGCCCAGTCCCAAAGGCTGTATTCCTTTAGGGAACACAGAATCTGCCTTAGCCTATGCTCCCATTTGAAGCAAGACAGCCTGTGGCTGAAACTGTAAATAAGCTTGGCTTGCAAAGCTTATGATCCTACTTAGTCAGCATGACTCTGAGCACTAGCTTGGGCTGCATGCATTTTATTTCCCATTTTAAAAGGTTACTGCAGTTCTTGGGCCAAAGACCAAGCCACCTTTGCTTCCTTCCCAGCCCTCTGGCAGTTTCCAAATTGCTTGGGGGTCGATGGACTGCAACAAGACTGATGCCATGGGTACTCCTGACCCACTAGTGATGGAGCCAAGCAGCAGCAGCAAGTCCCAGGACTGCAGGATCACTGGGGTCAGAAGAGGTCTCAGCCTGTCTGTGGTCCAACCTCCTCCTCAAGCCTCTCACAAGAAGCACCAGTGCCCACCTGGCCCTATGGGCTTACGGGGGCTACTAAGACCACTCACTTCAGAAAATAGCAACCCGAATCTTCCCTCCCCAACTTGCTGCCTGTGCTCATTTGTCTCCCTGCAGTGACTCAGAGAAATGCTTTTTCCAGCCCTTCCAAGACCCCCCCCCATTCCCTTCTGTGCTGCTGATCATCAGCCTCTCATCATTTTAATATTTCCACTCTGACTAAAGGGGCTCAACCGGGGTCGGGCAGGGCACTTTCCCCTGCAGATAAAAGTGTGCTGCTGTTCTCTGGCTGCTGGTCCCAAAGAGACTGGTAAAATTTATCCTGTTCAGATTTTGCTGGCACATTGGCAGCATGGGTATTTTGATTTGATTGTTGTCTGCAGTTTTCTAAGCCATCCAGTTTATTTAATTCATAATTCAATTTCCTTGAACATGTTGTTCACTCCAGTTTGTAATAACCTCCTACTCTCTGTTTTTAGCCAAAGCTTTCACACCTGAGCTGCAGTTACCCAAGATGGTTATGGCCTATAAGAGGACATATTCCTTCGCCCCTTAATTTTCTCAGCAATATTCGCTTTATTACATGTACTGGAATTTAATAGCCCCTGTACTGAAACAGATCCTTCCTTAGGAAGAGCTCAAAGCACTTGCAAATAACAGTAAAGATCATTTTCAAGCAAAATGTTATTGAGCCCCAGTGTATGTCATATATCAAATACAGGTGCCACGCTGAGAAGCGCTGGACTGTCCCCATCAGCAAGCAGAGATGATACAGCACAGAGTGGGTACATGCTGTGTGGAGAGTCATGCCCAGTGTAATGCAGAGCAGAGGGCAAAACGCACTCAAGTCTTGAGCTGCTCTTCAACCAGCACTTCTTTCACTCCTGGCGTCACGGCTCATGAGTCAGCCTGTGGCACTGGTGCTACCCACTTGGCCATGCACTGCACCATGCAAACACATCACTTCAGCCCAGAGTTAAAAAGGGACATCTTGATTCCTAAGATTTTACCTCAAGACACCCAGGGCACCATTTCCAGATTATTGCCTTTCCCCCTTCATTCAGGACTGGCCTACAGGCCCCAGCCCAAAGACCCAGTCCACATCCCACAGCACTGCTGCGGCACAGGGCTCTGCAGCCCTGGGGCACTGCTGCAAAGAGCCCACTGCCTTGCTGCACAGCCCAGGCCAATGCTTTCCCTTGTCCTCATTTACCCCAGGAGAGAGGGGGCAGGGAACGAGTCACTGCCATTTCTGTAAAGCACTCCTTGTCCTTTTGCCCACCCTATACTCATTCAAGAATCATGTTCCCAGCCCCAAACCCCAGCTGCTTGGCAAATACATCTTTGGGTTCCTTGGAACTGGGGGATGCGAGCTTTGTTCCCCAATTAATCTCCCTGTGCTGGCACTCAAGGTCCCTGCAATGCACTGCCAGACAGCACCAACATCATGTAGCCCACACACCTTGGGGTACTTGCCGATCCAGGGGGACATTTTACACCCAGGAGGGCTCTCCCACTGCTGGGATTTCTTTAAACACCGCAAGAAAACAAACAGGTTTCTGGTTCACCCCAAAAAGCACAGCTGCCTGCCCCAGGGTGATGTGGAAGGGCGAGGGATGCTCCTTGCTGCCTGGGAAGCCGTCAGCTTCCCTTATGGTCCTCCCTGCCCTGCCGCTTGCGGGGGGACAAAAAAGACAGCTTTATTCCTTCCTGCTATGTCAGCACTGAGATCAGACTCAGCAGGGCTGCGCAGCTGCCACCAGCCAGCCGCCCAGATCCCACACCAGCAGGGCTGGCAAGAGGCGTGGGAGGAGGAGGAGGAAGCCCTGCAAGGTAAATACAGCTGTGGGTTACCCCATGCGGCTGCACTGCTCCAGCAAGGCGGAGGAGAGAACACCAGCCCCAAACCCCTCCAGCACGCTGCAGGAGCCACAAGCTCTCCCTGCCCTGCTGCCTGGTACTTGCCTTCTGCCTCCCCAGGCAGAGTGGGCAGCGATGCCTGGGCTCGCAGATCCTCTGCAGACCCTCTGCCAGGGCTGGGGGGGCACAGGGCCCAGGCTGGGGTGCGAGGGCACGTGGCGGGAGCGAGTGCAGCTTGCCATCGGCAGCCTCGCCAGCGCACGCATCCACGCACAGGCACAGCGGGCTGCCCTCCAGCACGAAAACAAACACGCTGGCCTTCAAGAAAGGGGAAGCGGGGGGCCGGCAACAGCACAAACCAAGCACACAGGGTCAAGCTAAAGGCTTGCTGGGAAAAAAATAAATAAGGGGAACAAATAATATTTAGCAGGCCCGCAGTCCCCCTCCCTCCTTGCTGGGAAGAAGCAGTTCTTGTTGGCCATGGAGCAGCAGCAGGAGGGGCTTGAATTTGAAGAGGATCTGGGGGCTCTGACCCCTTCCCCAGCATGGCTACAGAGGCCCACGGTTAGCCCAGCAGGTCACAGCCCTGAAAGATGCATGCACCTCCCACCCTTCTTGTGGTGGCCCGAGGGGCTTATCCTCAGCACAGCCTCAGCAGCAAGAGCTGCTCTAGTGCAAACCATGAGCCAGACCCCAGCAGCCTCCCTCTCCAGCCACAGGCACAGCAGACAGCCCCCAGACAGTGGGGGCATCTTCATCTCTTGCCTCCCCTTCCTACTGCATCTGTCAGGAAACAGGAGCCTGTGGAGACTCTGCAGGGGCAAATGCTGCTCCAAAAAGCAACCGCCAGGGAAATGGGTGAAAGAAAATGAGAAGGATGTAGGGAAGGTTGTTTGAAAAGTAATACGGATGAGAGAGGGAGAGACAATGATAACAGAGGTTGGATGAAGGTAATGCCCTGAATTTAGCTGCACAGAGCAAGTCAAGTTGTCCTGGCATGGTGCTGTGCAGGGTCAGGTATCCAGTACGGCAGCGGGGATGGCTTACAGGGTGTCCACAGAACTGTGGGTCCTTTGCTGGTCCTCAGCACTGCCAGGGCTTCCCTGTCCCCAGGACCAAGGGTACAGCCCCTGCCAGGGCCTTCAGCACATCTGGGACAGATGGAAAGCAACTCGGTACAAAGTTCTTCCTTTATATGAAGATAAAGTACAAGCACAAGCACATACAGCAAGGTGGTGGGTTTTCTGGAAATTTCAAGAGGAAAACAAGAGTGGGAGGTTTTGAGTAACATTTGCTGCTTTTCCAGAGAGGGATATGCTCAGAGGCTGCTGAATTTAACTCCTCCATTCTCACTCATCAGGTCTAAAGAAATTTAGCTAAAATTGCTTGAGAAGTGATACCAAAGTGAAAGGAGACCATCACATTTCTTCTCTTTAAAGCAAATCCAAACACACAGCAGGCACTTTCTGCACCAAGCCCATCAGTCCTCTCTTTAAATCTGTCTATTAAAATGATGCCTGGTCATGGTATGAAAGCATCAAGTAATGGAGAGCCTGCCAGCGCCTGAGAAAAGTTCTTCTAATGACAAATTTCCCACACTTAATCCTTATTTCTACTCTGAATTCCTCTCATTTCAGCTTCCTGCTAGTGGATCACACTGTGCATTGCCTTCTTAATCACAGCCGTAAATCCCCAACGTTATCTACTGAAATAAACAATTGATAAAATTGCCACAAAGATAATTGCAAAGGCCGGAGTGATCAAAAGTGGAAATTGTGAAAAACCCCAAGACCCCCTCTCAGCTAAAACACAACCTGCGCTATGAAACAAGTAGGAACCTTCTGAAGCACGGAAAATGCAATCAAGGAAGGGGGGAAAAAATGGGCCTAGTAATGGCTGACATGCTAATGCCATAATGCTAAATATTGTACAAATAAAAAAACAAACTATGGGGTTGGTTTTTTGGATTTTTTAGTTTGGAGGCATACAGTTCAAAATAGATGATCTCTTAGGTGGTTTTACTGTTATCTTTGCTTGTATTTGAGCAGAACTGGACTTCATTTTCCAAAACTTTTCTAAGGCAGTTTCTCCTCATGGTCTGATCTACCTATCAAATGCGTTTTATTTACCATTTTAATTATAAGCATTTCATAGATTTAGAAAATGAAGGTACAGGAAGATTTAGGGCATTGTAGACTTCACAGCCAGAAGAGACCTCCATCAATCAGCTAGCCTGAGCTCTCGTAGGCAGGATTTCCCTGTTCTGTCCAAGGTCATTTGGCAGGTGAGAAGCAATGATTTCCACACACCAGTCTGATATTCTGACACTTAATCACATCTCAGCTGCTGCTGCTCCCCTGGCAGAATCTGCTAAATAATTCATCCCCTCTTTCCACCTAAGTTTTTCATACACATTAAGGGAGTTTTGATTTTGTCCCCTGGTATATTGTTTGCCCTTTGTTTAAACCTCCCCTTGAGATGCCTTATCATAAGGCCTAGATAGGATAGGGTATTTTAAAATTTTTTTAAATTTCCAGAATCCCTTCTCAGGCACTAAAGAATCCTCCATTTTTCCGGGCAGTGCAGGATTGCGGGTAAGCAATTACAGCTTGCCATCCTCTGAGTGCAAATCAATTATAATTGACTCAGCCCCGATGGGCTGGCAGGACTCACGCTGTCCCTGCACAGAGCGAGGGAGGCACAGCCGAGCACATGTGGGGCTTGAGGCACTAACCCTTCCCTCTCTGATGGGAAAACGCAAAAGAAACCTCAAGCCCTCCTACTTGGTTCAGTAGGCTGGTTAAAATATGCCAAAGGAAGGCAACCACTGCTACCAACTCCTGCTTTACTCAAGAAGAAGTGAAGCGTTTATCAACGAATGATGGAATCAGGGAGAGAGGTGCAAGTTTTCCTCCCCCAGTCAAGGATAAGCCATCATCTTGCTCTGAAGGGTTACTTTGCCTTTCCACCAGCACATTAGCATTTTCCAGGCTGGAAGGAAGCTGTGCTTTTAAAGCTCAGGCTGTAATTGGAATAGTTTGCCAGGACGGGCCTAATGAGGACACAGCTAGTAGCAGCAAAACCATGCCACGCCTGGAGTGGTTTAAATCAGTCCCTGGGCGACACAGCCACAGTAACAACGGGACTTTTCATAAGTGAATGAGCACCATTTGAAAATGTAATTTCATTTCAGATGTCTCTTGCACCTCATCAGCACAAATGGAGCCACAAACATGGCAAACACAGACCTGTCCTTACCCTCTTCGAAGTCTTGCTGCACCTTCACACTAAGGTGGCAGCTGTCCTACCCACCTCCTGCCCACAGGCAAACCAAGAGAGCAAGAGAGCAGCCGGCACTGTCAAATGAGGCTTTTCACCCCCTGCTCAGGCGCAGCCTTGACCAGACAGCAGCTTCCAGAAAGCTGAGCAGGAACTCTGAGTCCTTCCCATGATAAAAAACAGATTGCCTGGAGCTGGAAACCGGACACTTCTGTTTAGCTCCCTGGATCGGAAGCCATAAGTCAAACTGACTTGCACAAAGCCACACCACACCAGTGGCACAGGCAGGACCCGGGGATGTCCTGCAGCCCCTGACACGCTGCTACCCCCACCCACAGGGAACAGGGATCCTCTCTCCTCCACTAGGGAGGGCAGGATCAGCTGGAGCTCTTCCTCCCCCAGCACTTACATCCCCATTTGAAAAATTAATAACCAAGGCAGCACTGGGGCTAGACCAAAAAGAGTTAATGGGGTTACAAAGGGTTTTGCTGGCCTATTTTCCAGGCAGGCACCCTTTAATCTCCTTTGGAAACACCTTCACACAAAGGCTGGTACAGCAGCTCAGCTGGAGCCAGGATTTAACATGGAAGAACTTGTCCCAAACAGATTAAAAGCAGCAGCTGGGCACTGACCCTCCCGTCAGACAGCGAGGAATTTCTCACTGGGGACTGGGAAGCAAGGAGGGTGGTCGGGTCCTGGGGACTGCTGCTGCAACCTGCCAGAGCTCCCAGGAAAGCCAGGGCAAGCATGCCAGGTGCTTGCATGGTGCAGAGTGGGACCCCATACACCGTCTGCCTCTGCAGCAGAGGAGTCTCCCCAAGAAAGCCGGAGGACAGCTGGCACCACTTGTGATGAAGGGTTAAATTCCACTTCCCATAGCCCCGGGCAACAGACTAGAAAATACAGTAACAGCACTGGTGAAGGCAGGACTATGCACCAATATCACAGACCTGCCCTGTGCCCACAAAGGAGAAAAAGGGGAAAGGGAAAGAAGAAATTGGAAGAAAGAGCGTAGGAAAAGGAAAAGGAAGGAGAGAGGACAGCCACAGCCATCCATGCAAGCAGAGCTCAGCCATTCTGTCCCCTCTCCAACTTACCTGGGGGTCCCCAAGGCGACTGAGGTCTGGATAAAGGTAAAACAGGATTCCCTGGGATGCCCCTGGCAGGGTGACTCCCCGGATCAGCAGAACGACCAACATGAGGTATGGGAAAGTGGCCGTGAAATACACCACCTGGGAGGAGGACAAAGTGACAAGCGTGAGCGAGCAGTGCAGATCAGCAGCACAGCACCGACCCTGGGGTGGAAGAGACGAGCAGCAGCAGGGGACAGGTCAGACTACCTCACCAAGCACCTTGCTGTCACCTGCAATAGAAAGAAATGCATTTTAAAATGCACCCAGGAAACTTGTGACATGCTATGGTGTGTCTGGAGCCAGAGAAAACCTTTCTAGTCCTAAAAGCAATCCAGACCCTGAGCAAAGCTGTCACCAGGCTGGAGTCAGAGTAGCTCTGCTGAAGCCAGCAGTGTAATATCCACATGCAACAGAGAAGGAGCTGCCCCCAGTAGCCATCTGCACAACAGAGTTTGAGTCACACACAGAAAGTCTCTTCTCTGCAGCGTTCAGTGGCAAGAGTGAAGTGATGTGCAGGTAAGAGATACAACCTGAAACATGATTGCCACCGAAGGACCACCAGAGACAACACTGGGAGTCCCCCACTCAGGGCTGGCGCTGGCAACTGGCTTGTGCCCACTGCTCCCCACTGCAGTGACTCGCAGCCACTGCCTCTGACCGACCCCTGTTCAAATACCCAATATGAGCACTTCACGCAGGGCAGGGCAGCACACCTCAGACTTGCCACCAAGGACGCAAACCCAAACAGGATCTTCAACCTGTATCCTCTTGCTTTTTACACCCCTAACCCCATGAGCAACGAAGACATACTCAGGTAGTGTTGAAAACCCTTCCTCTAGCAAAGGAGCCACGTCCCTTGGGGGAATGCTGCAGGCCAGGATCAGCTAATCCTTTCAAGGACTCTACACCTGGTAAATATAACACTTAATGTGGGGATTACCAGGTTACTTTCAGGACTGTTCAGGCTAATTGCGGTAGTGTGTAACAACACATTGTAGTCTGTGTTTCCCACACAAACTGATACCAAGGGCTCACACAGCCTCCCCAGCAATTCAAGTAGTGTCATTAATTCCTTCGCACTGCTTCTTCACCTTCAAGACTTACTGACCACCTTGAAAAAAAAAAAAAAAAATGTCATTCAGTCTGTTGTATCACGCTAGGCCAAAAAAGAGATGTTGCCCCTTCAGGTTTTTCCTATGTGGACGTGCCAAGTGAGGATTCACATCAGCACGCTTCACCTGGATGCTACCCTACAGCTCTTTTCTCAGTTTCGGCAGTTATGCACTGGAGAGCTAAAGCTCGTCTCTGGAGGAACCGCAAAACAGAATGATGTGAAATGATCTACTTCTCCCACCTGCCCACCCATCCAGAATGAGCTGTTTCAAAACTCACCTAAAGCCCACTACCCCTGAGCAGGGGTCACAGGCTCTGCCACAGCTATAGCAGTTTCTGCATTAGAGAAGGTCCTACTGAGAACGAGTGTATGATTTCCCTGGACATTTTCACTCTGTCCCTGGGTAATCCTTATGAGTAGTGATTCAAAAAGAGATTTTTTCCTGGATCCACTCTGAGGTACTCCATCTGAATAAAGCAATGTCCAAAGCACCTGATGCTGCAATGCGAGTCCTCCTCTAAGTCAAGATACACGCTCTTCAGTGATGCAGTTTTATAATGCAGAAGGACAGAAGGATTTGAGAGATATCCCATCCTTGAAAAACCACACTACTACTTTATTATCTCTGTCTGCATCTCCAGCTTTTCTATGCATTTCGTGTGCCATGCGCTATATATCACAGCAGTCTTGGGTAATGTCACAGAGGCCAGTGAAAAACACCTCTTTGCAGGGGCTCATGGTTGCCTGAGATGTCTGTGTGAGCAGATCCATCCCTGTCCATCTGAGTCCTGAACACTGAAGAAACCCAGGGACAGCATCCTTCAACACAGGCAAACACCATCGTTTGTTTCATTCTCAAATTTTCAAGGAGTCTCTGATTTAGAGCTTTTCAGTGCCAAACTTCTATCTAACAAGAACATCTGGATCCAATGAGATATTACTCAGTGCTTGGCTCAGACTCAATCTTTTTATTTCTCGGGCATCAGCACTAACTACACCACTAGGAACCTTGCCGGGATCAGTGTGATCGTTCTGTCACATGCTGGTCAACAACATCCAGGGTTTTATTTGAATCTGATCCACATGCTTCAGCAAAGTGGTTCCATCTGTGACAACCTCCTGCATCTGTGAGTGCTCCTCAGGGATGGGCAGCCCCCACTCCAGAGGATGCAAACTGCTGCTGCTGTTCTGCCTTGGGGGATTTCAGCTCATGATGTTTACCCCCCCACAGGCAAATCCCAAGAACTAAAGTATATCTCTTCCCCGGTGGGATTGTATTCCCACAGCAATTATTTTAGTTGCATTATTAAATACGTGGAGGCTTGACAAACCTATGGACACTGTTGCTTTACTGAAAGCAGGTTTCTGTTTTCAAGATCTCACCATCGCTAGTCCTTTTTGCTAAAAAGCACTTGCATTTAACCTAGAACTTGTATCTAAAATAGATTGAATTTGTTCTCAGCACTTCCCACACTATGTTTGCTATATCTTAGTATCATATTTGCTGTTATTAGACAGCCTTTGCTTTCTTTTACCAGGCCACCACAGCAAGCAGTTGCTCTTTTCTTCTAATTTTACTCCATGGAAACCAGAAAACATCATCTCTGCAAGCTGCTTGATTTTCCTGTCATGTTTCATAATCACAGACCATTCTGGAAGCAGGAGAAAATGCTAACATCCATGTCATCAACTTGATGGAAATGGATGTAGCTAAAATTTACACCCCACCACACATGATGTCTTGTTCAAAGCACGCAGAGAAGACACCGTTTAGGTAACATACTAAACCTTTTCATTTCCATCTGTTCTTGCTGGCTCCAGACAAAGCTGGCTGGGAATGGGTCAGGAGCTAGTAGAAGAAACTAAGTAATGAGGTCAGTGCAAATGACAGTGGCACACTCTGCAACAGAGGGAGCGTGAGATGGAGCTGGACAGTCACACCAACCCTTTCCAGAAGCATTCAAAGAAATACCTCTGTGGTACTAGTGTGTGAGGGGAAAAAAAGGAGACGTTTATTGCTGGGAAATACGAGCAACTCTAGGAAGAGTTGGGATGAACAAAAAGAAAAAAGAAGAAATACCTCTGCGGTACTAGTGTGTGAGGGGAAAAAAAAGGAGATGTTTATTGCTGGGAAATACGAGCAACTGTAGGAAGAGTTGGGATGAACAAAAAGAAAAAAAAGAAGATGCCCATGGCCATGAGGCAGAGAGGGCTTTCAGGCCATCAGAGTTACCTTCATCACTATCTAATGAATTTGAAGATTTTTGAGCTGCACTTGCCAGCAG